ATAATAAAATCATAAGTTTATAAATTAAAACTATTTATATTATATTTTATCTTATTTATAATTATTAATAAAATAATTTTATAATAAGTATAAAAAGTTATTTTTATTAATATAAATAATTTAATATTAATTCTATTTTATAAATTTAAATTTAATATTAATAATAATATGAAAAAAATATTATAATTACTTAATTTAAAAATAAAAAATAATATTATATCTAATTTTATTTATATTTAAATCTTAAAAATTTTGAATATTATAAAGTATTCTTATATAAAGTATAATAATATATTTTTAAATTAATATATAATATATATATTAATCATATTATACTTTTATTAATTTATATACTAATTTAGATTATTATTTTTATATAAATACTTTATAATAAAAATAATAAAAAAAAGTAGTTTATTTTTATTATAAGATTAAATTTATATTTAAATAAAATATTTTAATTAAAATAAAATATTATTATATTAGTTAAATTATTAATTTCAAAAATAAAGTTTAAATAATATTTATAATAAAAAACTTTATAAAAATCTGTTATATGAAGAATTTTTTACTGGTAATCAGGATATTTATTTGAATAAATTATGTAATAAATATCAAATTTTAAAGTAAAGACAAGATAATTATTAGATTTTTCTTTTTATTAATAGAAATTTTTTCTTCTTTAAAATAAATAAAATAAGAAAATCTAATAATTTCTAAATTTAATATTTCTAAAATATGAATAGTTTTTATATTTATTAATATAAGAACTTAAATTATTTGAAGATATATAAAATTTAATTATATATTAACAAATTATAATAATTTTTTTTAACAGATAAAATTGAAATTAATTATAAATATTTATAATAAAAATTAAAAATATATATATACTGTAAAGTTCTGATAATAAGCAACCCCCTACATTATCATTTTAAAATCGAATTTTAGAGAGTGTTGCTTATTTTCAGAATCTTTCCTAATGCTTAATTTTTATTAGTCCAATTCCTATGAGTACAATACCAAATTACATAATGTTATAATAGTAATATTATGGAAGATTAATATTAAAAAAGGAATTCAAAAGTTGGATAGTATTATGAATATAATATAATATAGGATATTTATTATACAATTTTTTTTTGAATATCTCTAATTCCCTCAAACCAATTTTTTCATATAACTCCAAGTCACGTAATTCTGAGACACATATTTAAAAAATGAATAATAACATTAATATTTTCAATAACTTATTTAAAATTAAAAAATGATTACAAAGAGCATCATATACAGCTTTTAAAAAACTTGTCATTATTGATGAAGCCAAAAAAATTGGTATCTTAGCTGCAAAACATTATTTTGATATTAATCGGTCAATGGTATTATGATGAATATCTAATGAAAAAAAGCTTGCTAATGCCATACCAAAAAATAGATGTGTTGATGCTGGGAGATTCTTGGCATATCCTGTTGCTGAAGAAGAACTTATTACATGGATAAAAGAACTTTATCTGGTCAGAATTGCTGCAACAGCTAGGGCTATCAAAATACAAATGACTACTATTCTTGCAACAACTTGTGCAAATACTTATTCAGGTACCTCTGATAAATTTCATGCTTCCAAATCTTGGTTTTATCAGTTTTTAAAAAGACACAATCTTTTCCTTTGATGTCATACTAAGATTAGTCAGTAATTACTCACCAATCTCAATATAAAAACTATAGAATTTCAAAGATTTGTTATCTAATCTCATCAAAAATATCAGTATAACCTTTCTCAAATTGTCAATATAGACAAAACTTCAGTTTATTTTGATATGACTGGTTCTACTACAATTAATAAAAAAGGTGTTAAAATAGTCCAAATTTGAATCACCGGTAATGACAAAAACTAATTTACCTGTATACTAGCTATTACTGCTGATAGTGATAAATTACTATCTATGATTATTTTTAAGGATGTACAGATACCTTCTAATCTTCCTAAAGATATTATAATTTATATGTATGAAAAGGCTTGGATGGATAAAAACTTAATATGTGAATGGATAGATAATATTTGGAACAAGCGAATTAGAATCTTAATAACAAATAAATCTTTCTTATTTCTTATTATGAATTCATTTAAAGGACATAAGACTGATTCAGTTTATCAAAAATGTAATACTAGTAATACACATATTGCAATCATTCTGAATGGTTTGATATCTATTGTTCAGCCTTTAGATGTATGTATTAACAAACTATTCAAAGATAAGTTACAGGAAAAATGGTATTTATGGATGAGTAGAGATGAGTTTCAATTAACAAAAGATGGGAATTTAAAAAGATCAGGATATCATTTAATTTGCCAGTGGATTTTAGAGATATAGAAGGATATTTCAACAGAAATAATTTTTAAATTATTTAAAAAATATGGTATTTCTAATTTATTAGATGGAAGTGAAGATGACTTGTTATATAATTCTGATATAGAAATTAGTCAATTAGATCAAAATGATGACTTAATTGAGATAGTTGATCAAAATAATATTTCAGCTGACAAATTAGAAAATGAATAAAATAAAATAAAATTAATTTTTTAAAAATTATTATCAAAAAAGAGGGTTGCTTATTCAATTTTTCTAAGACTTTTGGATCTAAAGAGGAAGGGTTACTTATTTTAGAGGGTTGTTTATTATCAGAACTTTACGGTAATTATATAAACTAATAATATATTTGCTATAATGAAATTAGCAAATATTACAAATTATAATTCTTATATAACTTATTAATTTTTTAATTTTTGTAGAGTCTGTATAAATTATATTAATTATCTATTATAATATTGTAAATTATCAAATTTATCATTATGAATATATCAAGAATATCTTTAAGATAATTAAATACAAATATGAGATATATAATATTAAATTATTATATTTTATTTAAATTATAATAATTAATTTTATTATTTATATAGAAATAAAAAAAAGTATCTTATTTAAATTGAATATTATCTAATTTTTATCTTTATTTTCTTTAAATATAATATTATATTAGCTATATATAAATATTAAAATGAAAATTTCTTTTCTAAAATATATCAAGATTTAAATACTAATTCTTATAAAAATAAAATAAAATAAAGAGAGTTATGATCATAAAAACTAAAGTAATAAATACTATAACTAAAATAAAAGATCTAGTATACTAACTAAACTTTTTAACAGTAATTTTTTAATTATTAAACAAACAAAAAATATATATTAAAACAAAAACAAAACTTTTATATGTAGAAAAACTTACAAGAATCTCTATATATTAAAATAAAATATACTTGGCTTATTTTAAGTAGAAAATATTCATTATCTATATTTTTTAGATAAGAAAAATATATGATTAATCAAATTATAATAGAAAAGATAATTAAAAATAGAATATTAAGATAAAAATCAAAGAAAAATTATAAGATAAGTATAACTCAAATATTTTCAAAGATAATTGAATTATTATTATTCAAGTATATTTATTATATATTTG